GGGGGGGAGGCGGGAGTTATTCTATGGATATATTTGGGATTTTTTCGGCATACAGGCCTAACTGTCCCCTAGTGAAAAAAATTTGCGTACGGCCCTGACTCTGTTGGAGTTTTATAACAGTATCGAAATTGGCATTATTACAAAACCGTTTTATTGTTGTTACGTTTTTGGATATTAGACAAAAATACCCAAAAGATGAGCCCTACCGGGAGGGCTGGCCTTAGCAGTAGGGCTATTTTTCACCGCTTGTTTACATGAGAAAAATCAGCCCTACTGGTAGGGATAGTTTCCTTTCGCAAGTAGCACTTAAATGGCTTCCGTGCGACTCATTATTTTTATTTTGGCGTCCAAAATCATAGTTTGCCCACTAAATTTTGGAATAAAAGCCAACATACATTTGAATATCCTTTAAAACTACATTCTTAAAACAAAAAAAAGCTTCAAAGAGTTTAGTCTAAAATCGTTTTGACGGCTTTTTCACTCAGCCCTACTACTGGCCTCTCTACTGCGTTTATATGAGAAAATTCCAGCCCTACTAGGCGAGATCTCGGGTGAATAATAGTGAGATCTCGCCTAGGAGGGCTGGCCCTCTTCTTATGTAAACGTAAACAATTTTTAATAAGGATTTCAAATAGCACGCGGGATCTTGCCTAGTATATGGGGCCAGCCCTCCCTGTAGGGCTCATGTTAACAGCCTCTTAAATGTATGTTTTGATTTCAAAATTGGCATGAATTTTTGAGCAGGCAGTAAAATTAAAACTGGAATAAAATGTGTCTATTTTTCAGCGCCATGTTATGTAAATGCATCAGACAACTTGAGATCGGAGAAAATCCGTCTCCATGGACAAAAGGCAAATTTAGAATGTAAGAAAGGCTTCACTCTTTCTGGCATAATCGGTGGTGAAATGCCAGTCTGCTTCAATGGAACATGGAAATCCGAATACGCAAGGTTTCCATATTGTAAAGATGATGATAAAATAGCTAAGACGAGAGAAAGTTGGTGGAGTTTTTTCAAAAGACAGGCTAGCAAATTCGGTTAAAACGATAAAGAATTTATTAGCATTACCATTGGCAATGGAAGATAAGTTTATTGTCTAAACAGATATTACATGCACAAAAGTAAAATTGTATATGCTCCACAGTACATTGTATATGTTAAATCTAATAGTAACATGAAATGAATAATTATATAACTAGAGGGCACTCAGAGACTGCAAACCTCCGCCCGTATTGAATTTCGGTCGTGCGGAAATGCAACTAAGACAATAGATAATGAAGGCTGAAGCTTAATGAGGTTTATCATCTCATTGTCTTAGTACAGCGTGCGAGTTTTTTTTAATTGACCGGGAAAAGCAAGACAAAATTTTGTTCATTTCTCGTTCAATTTTTAACCAAATTCAACCAAATTTTAATCAGTTCTTCCTTAGTCGATGGGAAATGCATTCAAAAAATTTCGTATGAATATGTTTCGTATTTCTTGAGTTATCGTGCTCACAGACAAACACACACACATATACACACACATACACACATACAAACCCAGATCACAGTATAGGGAGACAACAGATGATTACATAACCTCCTGGCGGAGGTAATGATATAAGTTTGACTTTATAGCTTCTGCTGACATTAATCTTAGCTAGAATTTATTACATGACAATGGCGATCACAAAAATCACATCACAAATAAGATCACAAAAATCTGAGCTAGAGTGGATTGCACGGTAAAAAGCCGTATTGCCTTCGTCTAAACCCAGTTTTCCTGGTTAGGGAAGCCTCACATATCGATTTTGTACACGAGAAACGTCATGTGGACGTTTCTCTGGAGATCCCCCCCCTCAACCCCCCCCCATTAGAAACGTCACACATACATGTAGGCCCCAGTTACACGATAACGGATTCGTATCGGAGCGACATCAATTTAAGAGGGCCCCCTATACCTCTTCACAATATGCTTTCACGTAAAAATATTTTGCCTTTTCACGAGTCACGGATTAAGAAAATCATCGATCACGTTTC